TAAGAACAGATTACTCCAAATAAATAAGTTGGAAGAAATTCGAAATGATGCATACATAAACTCAAAAATTTATAAAGAAAAAACCAAGATTTTTCATGACAAATCAATTTTACGAAAAAAAAATTCTCCAGGATAGAAAGTTTTATTGTACAATTCAAAATTACATCTTTTTTCTAGAAAATTCAGATCAAGAAGGACAGGTTCATTTTTTGTCAAACAAGTTTTTTCGCATGGGGCTGTCGAGATAGAAAATCCTAAAAATGGTAACATTTTATTTTTTGTCAAACAAGTTTTTTCGCATGGGGCTGTCGAGATAGAAAATCCTAAAAATGGTAACATTTTAAAAATAAATGGTCAACGTCTAAAACCATTTTTAGAATTTTCTACGCTCGGAGAGGAAGATGTGTTGGTTCTTCATGAACCTCATTATCTATTAAAAAAAATATAACTATAAAAAAATAAATAATAAAATAATAATAAAATAAATAAAATGAAAACAAATTAATTACAATTTTTTCTCTCTTATTTGATTTCTTCATCCTCATACTAACAGTAATTGCAGATCCTTATCATCATTGTCGACCGAACAAATATAAGTTCTTCAAGTCTTATCTGTTTTGCTTTGTGCATTAGCGAATTTGCATTGATGACAATACAAAATTTAGGTGTGGGAGTGGGAATTAGTTATTTTTCCCTTTATTTTACCTTTTAGTTGTATTTTTGTTATTTTTTCTTTTTCTAAAAAAATTATAAAAATATTGTCACTTGCCAAATTAATAGAGTTAATTAATAATTGATCTAATTGATAGATTTTAAATTTTCTAATTCTTAGTTAGTGACATACTCAAGTTCACCTTTTATGATAACTCCAAATAAAATTCTTAAGAAATGATTTTTCAACTAGTATACTTTACTTAAGTCTTACCTTAGATTTTTAATTAAAAATAATGAAATTTTTGCATGCTTAACTTAGAGTTGAAAATATTTTTTTAAGTTATCTTGATTTACACATTTTTTTCCAGACTATATATACTTACATACATATATATATTAAAAAAACTAACCTTATAAAAGAAGAGTGCGAAAAATAGGCACCAAAAAGAAAAAAACTCTTTAAATTCAAGGTGATTCTATCTTATAAAGCCTAAGTTGACTGAGTAATTAAGCCCAATGAGTATTTCTATACTTAACGACCTAAGCCCAATTGGGTTGGGATTCATTGGCCCAAAACTCGTTAAATGGTCACTTAGAAAGCCCATTAAAATAAAAAACAATCACCAAGAATTAGAGAGTGAAAAAAAAATTATATACATATATATCTATAACACTAACCATTTTTTTATATATATTGTTGTTTTGTATGTATGGTCTTGAAAAATATTTTTTGATCAAGAGACTTGAAAGTTATTTAAAACAAAGAGTTAGCATGTTCTTTTCAAAACTTTTAAATTAAATCTCTAAGATTTGACTTGGTTTTGTATTGCTATAATGAAAAAGATTTTCTAAGAGATTTACATTGGAGTTATATATAAAAATGTTTTCTTGATTATTAACTAGCTTCAATTAGAATGTCTAAATATATTAAAGAAAATTAGTTATTTACTGACTTATTTAACTTGGCAAAATGACCGAATTTTATGGGTATATTCACTGCAAACCCTCACGAGACTACAACTCGTCCACTAGGGTAACCTAGGGGTTTAAAGGCTTGTTATATGCGCTAAATAAAACCGCGATTCCTGCGAAAGTGAGTTAGGTTTTCTTTTATTTTTTTGCTAGAGGACTAGCAAAAGTTTAGGTGTGGAGGTATTTGATAATCATATTTTATTACAATTTTATACTCTTATTATCTAGTTTATATGAATAAATTTATCACTAATAATTAGTTTTATCTTTAATTACAAGTTAATCAAAAAATAAAAGCCCAATATCTCTTCTCTTAACAAAGCCCATTAATTAAATGAAGAACTCAAGCATGAAAGCCCAAAAGAAGAAGAAATGCCAAAGAAGCCCAAACCCAAAGCATAAAAGAAGAAGAAGCTGCGGAATACAATTGCAGCACACTGGGCATCGATGCCAGCATCGATGTTGGTATCAATGCCACCGTCATTCTGTTACGAATCTAAGGATGGAATTCATGGTTTTTGGATAAGATTTTAATCCAATGGCTCTTATTCACTGATGTTTACTATAAATAGGGGTAGAGAGTGCCAATGGCTCTTATTCACTGATGTTTACTATAAATAGGGGTAGAGAGTGAGGGGTTAGAGGTGTAAAAAATTTTGTAACTCGAGTGAGGGGTTAGAGGTGTAAAAAATTTTGTAACTCCATTTGGAGAGGAGGGCTACTCTTAATTGAGAAAGCCTTTCAAAAATTGTAATTTTTGTTGCAATTTAATAATAATAATTTTTCTCCACTTTAAATCTATCTTTTCTCCTCTTTGTTGAATGATGAGGATGGAGATGAAGAGCAATTTGAATGTTTGTATTTCTTTTATTTTCCTCTTTTATTTCATTTTAGTAATTTCTTTATTATTGCTTATTACTTAGATTTACATTCATGCTTGTAGTGTAGATTTATTTCCTTATCTTTTTATTTTTTTTTACAATTTATTTTGTAGTTTAGATTTTAATTCTTTGTAGTTAGATTTATTTCTTGTTCATAGTTTAGATTTTTCTTTTCTTCTTGTAATTATTTATTTTTCTTCTTGCTTTTATTTCTTAAGATGTGAAATTAGTTCTTGTAGGAATCTTAGAATTGTATGAAACTGGTCTAATTTCCTTTATATTGTATGAATTCTTCTCTTTCACTTAAAATATTTATGTTTAGGATAATCAACTAGAAAACTAATCGGTAGAAGAAGAATTTGATAATCTATGCTTATCTTAAATGGTTTGATAGGTTATGCTTATGAATTCTAGGATTACTATCTTATTGTTGTTCTTATCATGAATAGTAATTTTAAATTAGATGATAATTTGATAGGTTATACTTTCCTTAAATGGTTTGATAGTCCATGCTTAATAAATCTAAGTTGAAATATGATAAAAAGAGAATAGTTTGTATTTTATAATTGAGATTAGCTAGTGACTTAAATTCTAGATTTCTCATATCTTAAATTGAATTCTCCATCTTGATTTTCTTGAATTTGCTTTTCATTCTTGATTTTATTTCTTTCATTCTTCTTTCTTGCCTTGTGATTTTATTTATTCTTTCATTCTTATTTCTTTTCTCTAAAATTCAATTTATTGTTACTTGCATATATTCACAACAATCACTCTCACGCATCATAACTCTCACACTTATTCTTTAATCCTATTTTGTCACGCACACAATATAAGAACCAATTCTAATAATCTCTTAAAATCACATTCCTCATGGGATCGATAACTTTTTATACTATAACTTGATCAATTGTGCACTTGCAATTTTGGTACATAATTATGCCGTATCAATGTTTAAAAGAGTGTTTAAGAGTTTGTTTGTGAAGAGAATTTTACAAGAGTTTGAGGAGATCATCAATCTTGTTTCGGCTTCAATCTACATCCCTCCACTCTTATTTTAGAGAAGTTTTCTTAAACTCTTTATCTAGCTTGTTTATGCTTAATTTGCCATATTTATTTTGCTAGATTAAATTGAGTTTAGACTTGTTTTGATTTATCTCTTTGTTCACACACAACCATTGAGCTTATTGTATTTATATTCATAGTATAATTTGGGTTGTGGGTTTGTGACATAGAGTGTGAGCTTAATTGAGTTCTCGTCTATTATAGAGAAAAAATCATTTGTTACATTGTGAGATTGTAAAGTTTTCGGTTAGCTAGAAAACCGAGTGTGAGGTGTAAACGTTATTCCGGTGAGCGTAGAAAACCCGGTTGTGGAGATCTACTCGAGGTGAGGAGCGGAGACGTAGGTCGTGGGAACCGAACTCCGTGAACAATTATGAACGTTGATTGGTGAGTGTTGAAAACCGATTCGGGTGAGCGTAGAAAGCTCGGTTGTGATAGTGGATTTCTCCCAGGGAGTGGGGAGTGGAGACGTAGGACGGAAAGTCCGAACTCCGTGATCATATTGTGTGTTTGCATTGCTTATATTGCCCTATCACAATTGTATCTTTAGTTTAGATTGTTTTTCCTTGTGTTGTTTATATATCCTTGTATATATTTCACCATATAGGATATATCTCTTGGTTCATATTGCATATTCTTGCTCATAACATTTTGTATATCTATCTTGTAAGAATAATTTCTTAATAAGTTTTAATTGGCATAAAATCAGATTAGATTAGCATAAGACCCTAATCACCCCCCTCTAGGGTCTAACAAACACAAGAGAAGAACCTATTATAGGAAATATGTTTTTTATAATTCATTTTCTTATTTTTTTAACTAACCAAACAACCTCAAAACAAGTTTTCTTAAAAAACCACCCGCATCATCTAATAATATGGTGACAACTCATCTCATTTCATCTCCTATTATTTGATTTTTTTTCTTTTTTTAGCCAACCAAACAACTATAAAACAAATTTTAAGAAATAGATTATCTATTCTTTGATTTCCTTCTTTTTTTTAGCCAAAGAAACATGCCCCAAATTATGAAGCGAAAATTTTCAAAACAGCCCCAAAAAGTTTTTTATTTTTCAAAATCGACCATTTTTTTTAGTTATCAAAATCGACCTATTTTTTGCCACATGAGCTTAATAACGTTCCTAAACAGTCGAGGTTGCCAACCCCGACTATTTAGGACATAAAAATTTCGGGTTTAAGGGTTCTAATTAGGGTTTAACACCCTCCTAAACAGTCAGGGTTGCCGACTCCGACTGTTTAGGAACTTCATTAAGCCCACGTGACAAAAAGTGGATCGATTTTGATAAAAAAAAATCGGGTTAATTTTGAAAAATAAAAATCTTTTTGGGGCTGTTTTGAAAATTTGTTCAATTGTGAATATTAGTCGGGTTCGGGTCCTATGTATTTTAAATGATCCGAACAGGATCTTTGCAGGCAGCCCATCCCTCTCTTCTCTCTCTCTCTCTCTCTCTCTTTCGCGGTCTCACCTCAACGCCCTCTTCGACGATTCGATCTATTTAAAATCCTTGAAATTCGTCGTTCAATTCAAATTGGGCTTGTTAAAAACCCTAATTTCTTTTGTTTTTTACCAGTTTTGGTGTCGATTTCGAGATATGGAGCCCATGGACATCGTGGGAAAGTCAAAAGAGGATGTTTCGCTTCCTAAAGGTTCGTACTTTGTTCCCTGGAAAAAAAATCGAATCTTGATTACATATTTGTCGGATGATTGAGTTATTAGGACCAACAATTACTGTTCCCTCCTTTTGATTTACACGTTTGAGCAAAACTTGTGAAATTAGGGTTTCTATCTTCTTAAAGTTGGATTCTTCTAAGATTTTATGATGTAAGTACCCGAGTTAGGATACTGTTTTTTAACTCTGGATTGTTCAATTCTTTTTTTTTTAAATTTGGAGATGGTATAATTAGTACCCAGTGTTCATTAATATTTATATAGTAAGCTACTACCATGTGTTGTAATTTAGAATTGTTTTTCCTAAGTGCTGATCTTGATGTATAAAAAGAAAACATACAGAGGAGGGAACCCAAATCCTGTATAACCCACATCTGTCACCCATATAACCAATGTCGGACTAAATGGACCCTAACATACCACCATGCTTCTAATCCCGGTGCCCACCCGGGCCAGCTTTTCACTAGTCTAGTCCCGTTCAAAACACTGCAATCCCGGCGACACCCATTTGGCTTTACATTAAACTAGTCCCGGGCAAACACTGCAATACCAGCGTCACCACCCTCGCTGCCCAATTGCAACCAGAAGGTGGGGTTGGCTCTGATACCACTTGTAAGAGACCCAGGAGAACTCACCCTAAAAGCTAGCTTGTAGAGGGAGGGAACCCAAATCCCTTATAAACCCACATTTGTCAACCATATAATGTTGGACTAAATGGACCCTAACAAGAAATGATCACTTTGACATAACTCTAAAAACTATTGTCAGAAAAGTTAACGAGTATCTCCACTTGTATGCTGTATGGAAATAAAAAAAATCAATGCAGGTCATAAAATTACAAAAACTGAATAATGTTAGTAGCAAGCTATTTCATGGTTGATATAGAATCACTTAAGATAATATAGGAAGTTCAAAAAATTAAAAAAAAAATAGAACTTTAAAAATTAGATAGTAAGAGAATATATTTCAAAAGATATAATCTTGCTGTTTTGTTTACTATTTCTAGTAAACATTTCCAAAATATATAGTCTTTAAGTTTTGATATCGAGGACTAAAAGTGGTACACACACCATTGTAACTCCTGATATCAAGGTCTAAAATTGATAACAAAAACCAATTAACAATTCAGATATTTTGAACCTCACTTCATCAATTTTACAAATTGTTGGGGTTTTTGCACAACTGAGAGTTTCTCTAAGATTTTTTAGGCCTTTTCAGATCGTTGTGGAGGAAATGAATGAATATATATGTTATTTTGCTGTGCTGCAAATTTCAACCCTGTTCTAGGATAATAATATTCCCCTCTTTCATGTCCTGAGTGGAGAAATTTGTCTTGTTTAGGAAGTTGGCTGTAGGCTAAGAGGAAGAACTTAAGGTTTTATACCTTGCACGCTTCTTTAACCTTGATCTGGTTTTAGCACAAATAATACATTCTTGTGACCTGTAAATCTGAACATATGGTAATTGCAAAAGAAAGAACGTAAAGTCAAGTTCCTTCAATGATAATTATGACTCGAGGAGTACTGTATTATACGATGGGAGCCAAGCACGATATATTTACAATGGGAGTACCTTGCCATACTTATACTATTTCTGACATACTTTCTGGTGTTTATAAATCAAGCACGATGCATATACAATAGGAGTCTATCATTTAATGTCTGTATGCTGGTTTATTGAGTATTTCTTGTGTTAATAGAATGGGGAAGGACAGTTTGTGTTATGGTATGATATGGATGTGTGTGGTATTATATTTATGAACTTATAATGAAGTCGTCGTTCTAAAAAAAGAGTTATAATGAAATTAGTAATGGAATCTTGAAGTAATAATTCTAGCAGGAGAATCAATTCCTTTTTTACAGGTTCTGATAATAATTTTACCGTGTATAGCATATTTACTTCAGCCAGGATAACAACTAATGAAAACTAAGTTTCCTAGTTTGATGGCTCCCTTAACCTTGATCTAGTTGTAGTTTAGATATTTTGTGACCCTGAAATTTGAACATGTGGCACTAGTAATAACAAAGGAAAGAACAGGAAGGTGAGGTCCTTTCCATGATTTAAAAAAAAAAAGACTCCAGGACTAAGGTATGCAATTATGAGGTGACCTAGAGTATATTATATGATCCTATATCTGCATAAGGTCATATATCATTTTCTTAAAATTAATTCTGAGGTCACATATTCACTTCGTAAGATACGATAGTGGTTCCCCATAAGTTATTTGCATTTATGCACTAATCTGGCAGTTCCTTTTACGATAAACATACGAGAACTTAATTTTAGCAAACATAATATATTCTTTTACTAACCCCTGAAGACATTTTTGCTGGTGCACTGATGCAATGTTCTTATTACATCTCAGCTACTATGTTTAAGATCATCAAGGAGATGTTGCCACCAGATGTCCGTGTAGCTAGAGATGCCCAGGACCTTCTTGTTGAGTGCTGTGTAGGTAAGAATGCAGGAAAAATCCTCAACTCCACGCACCCACATGCACACCCATGCACACAAAATTCATTTATTAGTTGCGGTTGATCTTGTTTTGCCTAGATTAATTTTCAATTGTTTTTAGTAATTTTGAGTATGTATCCATATGTAAAAGTTAGGATTTAGGATAAATTGCACATGCACTCCATGTATTATTGCCCTGATAGAACTTACGAACCCCTTGATACTTTATCACATGACGCCCCTGATTTGTAACAGTGTTAGACCAGTTAAAGTGATTCACCTTGTTATTTATACATGTTATTATTGTTCCATTAATCCTTGTCTATCTTTCTTTTTTTTCTTTATTATAATCTCTTTTTTTAATTCATTTTTCCTCTTGTTTCCTTTTATTCCCTTCTGCTTGGAGCTGAATTCGATTCTTAGACTTCAGTGTGATGTAATAATTGAGAGACTTGGATGAGAAATAGCTCGACCTTTGAATCGTTTCTTTAGATTTTGGACTGTTTTCTGAAGTGGGAATCCGCTGTTTTCTTTCTAGGAGCGTCGAATCGATAGATCATGTAATGTCTCAAGAATAATTGAGAGACTTGGATGAGAAATAGCTCGACCTTTGAATCATTTCTTTAGATTTTGGACTGTTTTCTGAAGTGGGAATCCGTTGTTTTCTTTCTAGGAGCGTCGAATCGATAGATCATGTAATGTCTCAGGAATTTGATTTCTTGAGATGTCTTGATTTCTCTGAGGGGAAAGGCTTCGGCCTATTTAGAAAAGTAATCTGTAATGGCCAAAACGAATCAATGGCATTTAGCGGATGGCGGGTTGATCGGCCTGATGATGTCCATGCTCCATGCTTTGAATGGCCACGAGGTAACAGTTGGTTATAATTCTTCCGGAGATTGATGTAGGAAATCAGCGTGGACTTGACACATATGATATCGTTTAGCATATGCTACCGTATCTGCTATTATTATCGGCCAATAGTAACCTAGACGATGAATTCGGTCCTAAAGATTGAGACCTGGTTGATGAACATCACATGCACCGTCGTGGGCTTGCTTTAATGCTGCTCGAACTACACTTAATGAAAAGCATTGATGCAAGATATTGTCAAAAGACCGTCAGTGTAACGTCCAGAATCATAGAAGAAGCGTGAAACCTTTCTTTGAATAGAGACTGCTTGCTTCAAACAATCAGGTAATATCCTATGCAAGACGTAGTTGATGATTGGAAACCGCCAATCATTATCTTCAAAATGAGTTGGCATGACACACACTTCGTTTGCTTCAAGAATTTGCTTTAGGGAGCATAATTAATGGCTAGCCACTGTTATGCGCCTAGTAGATTTGGGAGCCAAGCGCAAGTGTGATTGCAAGGGATGCCAAAGCATCTGCATGGGTGTTCCCGAGGCGAGCTACATAGTTGATGTAGAAACCTTTGAAGGACTGAGCAAGCTTCGTCGCAACTTTGTAGTAGGGTATGAGGTTGTTGTAGCGGACCTTATAACTTGCTTTGTCTCGAGGGAGGGAGAATAGTGGAATCCTAATAATGAAAAAGTTGAGAGAGCACCCTGTGATGCCTCTAGGATTGGTAGAATGCCTTTGTTTAGTTTGAATCCCTTAAGCTGTTGGTAATCTTTGATGGGTTTGGTATGGTTTCCATCATAATTTAGTTCTTTAACCCAGTAAACTTTTGTTTTCATTTTGAGAAAAGTGGTCAGATGTTATCACATGCAAGTCACATGTAAGGCTATTTGGATGAGAATTAAACACCATTGTTAAATTAGGGGTTGTCAAGCCCTAGCCACCTAGTTTGAGAGTGATAAATTAGTTTAGAACAATAGTAACACAGTACAAACTATGGATTATTGGTCATACTTCATTACCAAAAACAAATTTTCTTTTCCCTGTGATGACAAATCTCATATATTACCAAATCAAGGAGCTAAACCATAATACTTGTATGTCTAATGGTTCTATTCTTATAGTTTTCAAGTTAACATATTTAGGGGGTTTCATTGCAAGACATCAGTGATTATAGGCTTATAGCAACATGATGTTTTGGTTCTCTGATTGAATTACTTAGTCTTTTTCATCTTTTTGAAGTACTTTCCTAGTGTTCTTTCTGACACTTTGACTTTTGAAAATCATACAAATATGGGCCTGTTTTATTAACAAATATTATATCATTATCTTTTCAAAAATATTGCTTCATTTGAATAATAAACACATGCATCCATCTTTACATGAATTCAAACCGAAGAATCTTAGCATTTCTTTTCATTGTGAATCTTACCATCGGTAGATATTCTGAGTAATACAAGTTACAAGTTTTTTCTCTGGTGTTACGTTGCATATTAAGACTCATCTGATTGTATTGTGTATGCTACTGGATGAAGATGTTTGGTGACAGCTAATAAGAGGATAATATTTTGGAGTGTAGTGGATGTAATTCCATTCTTATGGCATTTGCTTTTCATGATCATCAATTTAATGCTGATGTGACTTGTTAATGCAAGTAGATTTATTTTATAAAATATGACTATAAAAAAATATCTATCATGAAATTAGATGATCCATTTAGTACTCTGTATTCTAGTGAAGTACAAGGTCCCAATTAGAAAAGTATTAGATCAAGAGAGACATATCCGGTAGGATCCCCTATGCAATATTTGCTTAATCATTTATTAAACAAGTATTAAGCCCATGCTAGCACAGATTGTTTTGATTTCTTTGGTTTATATATGTTGGTTTATATGTCCTTCGAATACGTTAAGCTACATTAGTGTAATAGGAAAGATGATTAATTATATTTCCTTATAGATTATAAGTTGTTGATTATCTATTAATTAATATATTAAATGCTCATGAAGGAAGAGAAAGTAAGTACGTGTTTTTGCTATGTTATGAAAAGAAGAGAGTATAGTTATTTTTATCAGTTAAAGTAGACACTTTGAGTGGTAGGGTTTTTCTTAGATAAAATAAGATCTTAAGTTTGAAATTTAAAATTAGATTGTTTAACCATCAATATCTCCTTTACAAATCTAAATAAAAATTTTGATTTAAAAAAAATAAAAACATTACCCAGATTCCAATGTCCTAAGATTTTAATTGATGCTCAAATTTGGTTTTCCCCATGAAGGAGATTAGGACTTTCCTCTAATCCTAAAATCGGTAGTAGAGAGTTCTACTATCCCTTAGTATTCACAACATATAACTTTCCATGACAATTGTACCCTCCCACCTCACGCATTCCCAATACCAATGTATTATACTATTATAATATAATATGTTAAATTAGATGGCTATTTATAATTTTAGATTTTTTGGGATATTCATAAAGTTTCAGGGTTGTTTGTAATTTTTAAAACTTTCAAGGGTGCTTGTAATGTATTCCGGTGGTCGTTTGTAAAGTTTTTGTGGGTTTATTTGTAATTTACAAAACCTTTAGGGGGATTTTTATAAATTCTCTGGGGGTGTTTGTAGGTTTGAAAATTTTCAAGGTGTTGTTTGTAAAACTTTAAGAAGTTATATATAGTGTTTTCAAATTTTCAGCACTATGTTTGCTACTTCAGTAACTTTCATGGGGTTAGTTGTAAACTTTTCATATGACTATTTGCATAATTTTTTAGGGGATATAAGTAATTTTCAAAACTTTCTAACCGTTGGTTATAAAATTTGCTAGGGTTTGTTTGAACTTCATGTAGCTATTTATAATTTTTAAATTGTTAGAGGACTACTCGAAATTTTTGGATTTTCTAGAGATTGTTTGTAATTTGTGGATTTTAACAGGGTAGTTTATAATTTTTCAAATTTTTTTGGTGCTATTTGTGATTCTCTGATTTTTTTAGGAGTTTATTTATAATATTTCAAGCTGAAGTGGTTGTTTGCAGCTTTCATGGGGATATTTGTAATTTTTAGATTTTTTATGGGGTGTTTGTGTTATTTGAAACTTTTAAGAAGTCATTTGTAAAAGTTTTCGGGAGTTGTCTGTAATATTTCATAGTTTTCTGCAAGGTGTTTGTTATTATCCCAACTTTCATGGGGTTGTAAATTTTTTAGAAGGGCTATTTGTGAAATTTCAAGGGGATATTTGTAATTATTGAAATTTTCAAGGGGCTGGTTATGATATTTTCAAGGGGTTGTTTATAAAAAATTTAGGGGACTATTTATAATTTTTGTACTTGCTATAGGACTTTTGTAATTTTTGGATTTTCTAGGAATTATTTTTAATTTATGGATTTTAATGTGGCAGTTTATAATTTTCTAGATTTTGTGATGCTATTTATAATTTTGGATTTTTAGGGGTTTATTTGTAGTTTTTTTATCTGCTTGGGTTGTTTGCAAATTTCTGATTTTTATAGGCCTTTTTGAAATTTTAGATTTATTAGGAGGCTATTTCTAATTTTTGGATATCAGGGTTAGTTTGTTATTTTTGAACTTTTAAGGAGGTTTTTTGTAATTTTTAGATTGTGAAGAAGACAGTTGATAATTTTCTAACTTTGAAAAACCTGTTTCTATAAAGAGGCCTTTGGTTAGAATTTTTAAATTATGGATAGTTTTAATTTGATAAAGGTGCTTAGCTAAAGAGGATTAATGGAGGTATTTGATTATTAAAATTTTTAATTATGGATTATTTTAATTTAATTAAAATTCTTTATTGAGAATAAGATTAGGCGTTAACATGTCAATTTCCGATAAGATACTTTTATGAGTAGTTCACCAATTTGAATATGAAGCAGGGATATGATTATGAATTTTTTTTAATTATGGATGGTTATAAGTTGATTAAAATTACCAAATATTTGATTATTAGAATTTTCCTCTTTTAATTATGGATAGTTTTAATTTTATGAGAATTTTTAATTAGGTGAAAATAAGATTAAGTTTTCACATGTCATCTTCTGATAGGATAGGAGAACACATGACTATCTTTTAATATGACACATTTCATGTATTTAGAAGATAAATGTCAGTTTTTTGTATCTTTAGAAGAAGCACCAAATTTTCCATTATATATAAAGGATAGATTTAAATATATGATTATGCATAGTTATAATCTAATAAGGATTATAAAATATTTGATTATTAGAATTTTCTAATTATGAGTAGTTTTAATTCGATGAGGATTTTTAGATGAATATGAGATTAGATGTCCACGTGCATCTTTTGATAGGATAGAGGGACATGTGCGTACTTATAATATGGCACGTGTCAGTTTTTTGTGCCTTTGTGATATAACACGTCAATTTTTTGTGTCTTTAGAAGTTCCACCAATTTCTCTTTATATATAAAGGAGGGATGGAATACACTGTAAAGAGTGTGATGGTATTGGAGCTTTAGATCTCCATTCTGTCTTGGAAACCGGGCCCACTTGCCATATAAACTATTGATGTTCTGATATTTAGCTGCATGAATATGAACTGTTGAAGCGAAGCGAAGCATGTCCACAAGGATCAATCAACTTATATCAGATCACCAAGCCAACATGGGCCAGCTATTAGGAGCAGAGAAAACAGAAGATGTAGACTAATTCCGTCTTTTAACAAAACCAAATAGCATCCTGGACATAGGTCGAGCAATTAGACTTCAAATATATACATTGGATACAATCTTGGAATATTTTAGAGTTCAAATTGGTTCCTAGATGCAGATCTCATAGTCAGTTCCAGATTTTGCTTGTTTATATAAGTATCTTTTTATGAAATGCTTTTACAAAAAGTGTCAGTTAAACAAGACTATTTCCAAAATGTACTGGTCAAAAGACTCAAAACTTGCACTGGTTGAAAGACTCGAAACTTGTAAGCATAGCCATTTGGTTTTACTGGCATATGAGGACTATCATTTTGTTGTTTTAACTATTCCTTAATAAGAATTAATTTCTGAAAATATGTACTTATGACGTGAACGTCCTTTAGTTCTAACCTGACATTTATTAATTTCTCCAATCATAAACTTCACTGTAGTTTATGTTATTGTTTTGCAATTTTTTAAATCTCTCTAAGCATAAACTCCATGCTTCACAAATGCTAGTATTTTGTGTTACTCTCCTCCCTTCTCTTTCAGCCCATTAACTATCACCTTGCGTTTTTTTTTCTGTCAGAATTCATCAACCTTATTTCGTCAGAGTCAAATGAAGTATGTAGCCGAGAAGAAAAAAGGACAATTGCCCCTGAGCATGTTCTTAAGGCTTTGGAGGTTATGTTCATTTCCTTTTACACAACTGAGCCATATGTTCGTGTTTTGTTTTATACTTTTCGCTCGTTTTTCCCCGAATGTTATCTCTTTGCGGTTATCAGTGTTGGAGGTTATGCTCACTGCCTTTGTTATGCTCACTGCCTTTTACATAACTGAGCCATATGTTCATGTTTTGTTTTATCCTTTTCGCTCTTTTTTTTCCTTCCTGGAATGTTACGGCTTTGCAGTTATTACTGTTGAAAAGCCAACTAATTGCTAGAAAATGCTGTTCAATTTCAATTAATGATGTCAAATATTATTGCTTTGCAAAGTCACATGTATTATTTGGAGCAAGATCAAGATTAACATATAGTATGAACACCTTCCAAGTTCTAATCTTCATGTTTGTGCAATGGTGTGCTTGATTAAAGTAGCATTTCATGATGCTTATTAATTTTGGTTATGATTAATTTAAGTTCACATGATATGTAGCATACTGTCTATGTAAACATTGGCATGTCTGAGTCCCTTAAGAGACCTCCCATCTGTGTACACTTGTGTGCATGTTTACAATCGTCTACCTTTATTTATTGGATGTTCTTTCTCTTACTGTCAACTATTATGGTCCTTAACTAGTACATATTTTTTTCCTTAATACATCTTTTAACATTTCTTCAGACATGAACATGACTTCAACATTCTACATGTTTGGTAAGTGTATTCATGTCCACAAAATTCAGATGGTGCTGTATCCTCATGAAAATTTGGGATATTTGCAATTTTGATAGACTAATACCTTGCACCTGGTTGGCAAATGAGATTTGTCTACATCGACAGTCAGAGGTTTACATGAAATGAATTATTTTATAGGGTTATTTTGATATTAGCCCCAAAATCTTTAATATTTTGATATGAGCCTCCAAATCTTATTAGTATGTTAAAATAAGCCCCCCTAGTTAAAATTTGGTTGATATAGGGGGAGCATTCTGTTTACTTTTAACTTTTTTGGTGATTTGCCATTTACGACTCTCTCACACTAACCTAAAAACTCATTAACCACTTATATCCATTAAGCTCCTCATATCCGTTTGGGCGTCAAATTGTTTATGTTAGAGAGTTAATTGTATGAGTGGGGGGCTATTTAGAGGGGTTTAGGGTTCCTAATTTTCTTTGATGACTGATTAATCTGAGGGAAGCATGTCCCGACACAAGTAACAAACGTTAGAGGGTCGGAGGGGATTTCCTCTGGTGTGCCCTCCGACATTCAAGTTAGTGAAAGATAAAGCAACTGTTAGAGTGCAAAATATCATTCCAGGTTTGATCCAATGTACCTTGATGCAGAATACAATGACGAATACCATTCATGGGGGCACATTGGTAATTCTACCTAATAGGTGGAGTCAGCGATCAACCTCCACTTTACATGCGTCGGTGATCGGTTGGGTAAGTGTAAAAGGATGCCAGACTAACATTTAATGCGACAGTAACAGAATAGCTGAAGTGCAGGCGATGTCCGATGAGTCGTTATGACTTTGGCTCGAGGAGTCATTATGACTATGATCATACATTTAATGCAATGGAACCCTAACGCAAAATCAATTTTCCACTTCATCTTCTCCAAAGTCTTCCCTAACGACTATATTCAGCTCTCATCCTAAATTTGCAATGGATATGTTCTCGTTCGGGAAGACGTTGGAGAAGGTCAAGTGGAAAATAGTTTTGAGTTAGGGTTTTACTAAACAGATTCAGAGAACTTAACGAACGATATAAGGTAAAGTGGTTAATGGGGTCGGGCTTGTGTGAGAGGGTTTATTTCAACATACTAATAAGATAAGGGGGGCTTGAGATCAATTTCAATGATTTATGACAAGGTTTTAAATGTCGGCTAACATGTCTGTTAGCCCGACATGTCGGTTTGAGGGCTTAAGCGACACGACATGGGCGTTTTCAATTTTATGTCGGTTTTTAGGGCCAAATTAAAAATATCGGGGTCAATATCGGGCATATCGGCCAATTTTTTGAAAAATCAGCCGATATGGCCTTTTTTTTTAGATTTTTTTTGTTATCGGGTTTGTGTTTAGTGATAAAAATCCAAACCCGTTTGACCTATTCTCATGTTTAAAGGTTTCTTAAGAACCTGATAGAAAGAAAAGAAAAAAATTAAGGCTACAGCGGACTTGGGAACCGATCACTCCTTTCGTGAAAGACGACGTCATTCCCCCACCTCCATCTCGGACCCCCGTCGTCCATCTCCCGTTACACCCCAAAATCTGAACCCCATCCGAACCCAAGGGTGGTAGGGTATCCCGTTGTTGGGATAAAGGGAAGATGGTGGTCGGTAACTCATCCGAAGGACCCCGAGCAAACGAAGAAGAGCCCCGATACTGCCTCCCTGCGACGTCGGAATCCACCCATCGCTGGCGTCGCCTCTAGAATTTATAAAGTATGCTTATATTGAATTTAGGATTGCTTATATTACATTTAGGACATGATATTATACATATGCGCACCACCCGATATGGCAATCCGATATTTAGTCCATGTCCCTCGATATATCCTCGATTTTCTCTATCCAACATGGATTTTAGCCGTCCGACATGAACCCGACATCTGACATTTAAAACCTTGATTTAGGGGCTAATATCTAAATATTGAAGAATAAGGGTGCTTGAGTTCAATCTCAAAGATTTGGGGGGCTAATATTGAAGATTTGAGGGGCTAATATCGAAATAACCCTATTCTATAACTTTAATGTTTAGATCATTATTATGCAACTTCTGTGTAACTGGACTCGCTTTTGTACAGTTCATGACATACTAGTTATGAGCTTGAGCTGGGCAAGTTCTCTTGCAACTTTGACAAATTTGTATTGCGTATTTAAGGAGAAAAGGCTCAAGGGACTAGCAATATAGGTGTATTAGAGCTGTGAATGTTGTGTATTAGTTCGGTTGTCACATATAGGTGTAACATATAATATTTTTAGTGAATGTTGTGTATTAGAGCTTCTTCGGTTGTCACACATAGGTGTAACATATAATATTTCTAGAGATCCCAAACACATAGACAACATATTTAAGGACCTGAACCATTGTTCAGTGAGCTGTTAGTATATTCATTACCCAATATGGTAATAATCTCGTCAACGAGGTGGAGGTTTATCCTCATGTTGTGTTTTGGATGGTTATTTTGACTGAATCTTCTGGATGTTGGACAGTTGAATCCTATATATCTCATTATGGTGGATCAGATTGCTGACTATGACCTTGAATCGAACTATATTCTAGCCACACTGATTATTTGTGATTCCACCAGGTTCTAGGCTTTGGAGAGTACATCGAAGAGGTTTATGCAGCCTATGAACAACACAAGCTTGACACTCTGGTTTGTATTTACGAGTTCCCTCCAAGTTGTTCTCCCCGTTGTAAATTTTATATGTAGGGTTTATTTTTTCCTACTAACCAACGATGTTGGAGATAATTCAAAGACTCTTAAATTCCAAAAGTTTGAATACTGTATTACATAATAACAGATTCCAACTCTTTTTATAATGATGTGCATCTTTATTTTTGGATGTGTTTGCAATCCTCAGGATTCACCCAAGGGTGTGAAGTTTAGTGGCGCTGACATGACAGAAGAAGAAGCAGTGGCAGAGCAGCAGAGGATGTTTGCTGAGGCTCGAGCTAGAATGAATAATGGAGTTAGTAATACACAGCAACAACAGAAACGATCAGACTCTGATCCCAGTTAAGAGAGTTAAATTTACTGTTGGTGTCGTGTATAGGTATTGTAGACATGCATTGAGATCACATCAACTAAGTATCTCTGTATGTGATGTGCTTATGGGATTGCTTTTGTGTAAAAAGAACAAGCCGGTGTTTCCTGTTCTATTTAATAAACTTTTAACGAGTAATTGAAGCACTGGTGCATACCCCTTTTTCTCTTTGAGATGCCTATTTAAAACTGTATGCGGATCAGATGTTATTGGTTTCCATTTGAGATTTTTTGACATCAAATGTCATATAGTTTATGTGACCAATAGTGCAATAATCCATCCTTGAGGGGAGAGCTGATGTTTTTCATCTGTAGCTATTGAAGGGTGGGCTCTCAAGCGGGAGGTTTGCGTGAGAGTCAAGCAAAAATTTGTTTGTGCAACAGCAGATTAGCGAAGATGTTAACTTTACTCGTGGAGCGTTAAACTTAACAATATCCAAATGTGTATTACTGCAATAATTACAATGTGTATAAATTTATGACCTTCACCAGAATTTGCTCCTTTTTTTTTAAAGAAAATAGGGCATTGCCCTATCATTATATAGAAACGAAACCAAAAGATGGGATTACAAAAGAAGATATCTTCTCATGAATGAGGCAACGACTCGGAGATGGAGAGAAAGGCCCATTCATTAGAAGATGTCTTAAGATAAAAAACAAAAAACCACCGACTAAAGCCCAAAACCAAGAAAAAGAAAATTAGAACTAACCAAAACTGTTATCCATATACAGAAACAAGATTACTATCAGCAGATCAGGGCATAGTGTTGCTGTCAGCGCTTGATTCAAGAATGTCTTGGAGACCAGCCGAACGAATGAGCTTCTTCATCTGGAGCGACTTCTTGGAGGTGGAGGCCCCTGACCAGAAGAGAAGTAAGTTAACAGACTTCTTGATGATGAGCAGAGGGGAAGTCGAAATATTTGAGAAGACTAGGTCGTTGCGAGCTTTCCACAAGACCTAACTAATGGTAGGGAAGCAGATGCCCCATAGAAGAAGAACGGAGGCATGGATAGAGGGGTTAGAGCAGATTGCTAAACATTCATCAATATTGGATGGAAGGGAGCCAATGCCCAGTTTGAGGAGAAAAGGAACCCAGGTTTGTTGCGCCAGGTTACATGATAGGAAGAGATGATCATGAGTTTCTTGATCAGAACAAAAAGAACAACGAGAATCAGCTAACCACCCTTGGGAGGCAAGTCTGTCTTTGGTCTTCAATCTGAGAGAACTAAGGAGCCAGAAGAAGATTTGAACTTTACTGGGCAGAACTTTGTTCCAGATAGTTGAATAGAGGCTGTATCGCATTCCACCATCGGCTAGAGTATGATGAAGAGATTTTACAGTGTAGAGCTTGGAAGCTGATATAGACCAAGAGGGACTATCTGCCATCGCGGACGGCACAAAGTTGGGAGCTGACAAGTATTGAAGAAGGGCTAGCACTTGACCCCTGGCCTCATCACAACTTGGGCGCCTGATAATTGGTTTCCATACCCATCTGGATCCCTGCCATCTCCCTTGAGAAGAGATGGATACATGTTTAGAGAAGGCAAGGTTGTATACTTTGGGAAAGAGACTAGCAAGAGTATTGTCTCCGGTCCACTTGTCTTCCCAAAAACAGGCCCCATTGTCGTTACCAAGAGACCACCTGACAAAGGGAGAGAAATGAACATCTTTCCAGAATTTGGAGCACTGATTGGGAGGGGATGGGTTGTGGAGATTGAACGAGTATATAGATTGGAGAACCCTACCGACATAGTGATCGTTATCCAAGAAATTCCAGAGCCATTTAAAGATAAGAACGGTGTTAAAAAGATGAAGGTTGATGACATCCAATCCTCCGCATGTTTTGGGGGTGCAAACAATCCCCCATTTGATCGGATTATGACCTGAGATACTATCTGGTGCCTTGCTCCAGAGGAAATTGCGTCTGATCTTGTCAATTTTCTTAATGAGCCTGGAGGGGAGTTTGAAGAACGACATATAATATAGAGGTATGGATGAGAGGACTGAATTAAGAAGAACAAGACGACCGCCAATGGACAGATATTTGCTTTTCCATAGAGATAATTTGCGGTGGAGGGAGTCCAACAGAGGTTGTCAGTCTGCTCTGGATAGAGAGCCTCGTTTGATAGGAAGACCGAGATATTTGAAGGGTGGTGATGTGAATGAGCAGTTGAGGATATTAGCTAAGATAGGTCCTTTGGTGGTAGATTTGCCGCTATAGAACAGATTGGATTTAGCAAAGTTGATGGCTAAACCCGAGACATTTTCGAAACAATACAGGATAGATTTGAGGTTGCAGATGTCAGATGGAGTTGCTCTGCAAAAGATGATAGTATCGTCTGCGAATTGAAGAGATTTGATATCGTTAAGCTCGCCCTTGAGATGAAGTTCAGATAGATCTCCATGGTCGCAACTGTTAAGGAGCATCCTACAGAGAACGTCAGCAACAAGGAGAAAAGCATAGGGGAAAGAGGGTCTCCTTGTTTGAGTCCTCTATGGCAGAGGAAGGAATTTGACGTAGTGTCATTAACAATGACAGAGGACTTGGAGGAGAATAGAGTGGATTTGATCCATGAGCACTATTTAGGGCCGAAACCTCTAGCCTGGAGCAGAGACAGAAGGAAGTCCCAGCCCACACAATCGAAGGCTTTGGAGAAATCAATTTTGAGAATGCAGGCCTCAATCTTCTTAGAGAAGCATAGGTTGATCATCTCATGACCTAACACGATGGAATCAATGATGGATTTGCCACATTGGAAAGCCGCTTGGGAGGGATGGACCAGAGAAGACAGTAAAGGGCTAAGACGGTTAGCTAGCACTTTCGAGAAGATTTTAAACAAGCTGTTGAGGAGGCTGATAGGTCTGAAGTCAGAGACAATGTTAGGGGAGGTGATTTTTGGGATGAGGGTTATGAAGGAGTGGTTGAAGATATGAAGGTGTGAGCTATCATTGAAGATATGTGAGAAGAAGGCTAGGATGTCAGGTTTCAGGAGGTCCCAGAACGATTGGAAGAAAAGGATTGGGAATCCATCAGGGCCCGGAGGTTTGTCAGGATGAAGACCGAAGATAGCATTCCTAATCTCAGTTTCAGAGAAAGGAAGATCCAAAGAGGGGAGGGTGGGGTTTGGAGAAGGATAGAGGTGGTTCCAATCCAGCTGGAAGGAGGGAGGATTTAAAGATTTGAAATGATTGGAAAAGTGATGATAAAAGGCCTTTTGTTTGTCGGTCTCAGAGGAGATGAAGGTGTTGTTAAAAAGAAGGGGGGTGGGGGGAGGGGGATAAAGTTTTTTCTCCTATGGTAGGAAGCAATTTTGTGGAAGAAAGAAGTATTTGAGTCTCCTTCCTGAATCCATTGGATTCTGGACCTTTGCTTCCAGTAAACTTCTTCTTGGTAGGCTAAGGAGGACATGAATTTTTTAAGGGAAGATCTGTAAGATATTTCAGAGGGGAGAAGAGGTCTAGATTCCTCATTGGTATTGATGGAAAAGATAGCTTTGAGAGTGGCTGATTTACTAGAGGTGATGGATCCAAAAATGTTTCTCTTCCACCATTTGAGCATGCGTTTAAGGAATTTGAGTTTGAGGTGAAGGGACTGGATAGGATTACCCTCGCAAGAAAGGCTATTCCAGCATGATGCAACGAAAGGAGAGAAGGAGGGATGGGAAAACCAAGTTTTATCCAATCTGAAAGGGGGCCTGGGGGAAGGGCAAGAGGTATCGAGAATGATGAATTCATGGTCTGAACATGAGGAGGGGTAACAATACTGTACTACGGAGGGAAACTTGGTTTCGAAGTCCAGGGAAATAAGGAACCTGTCAAGTCTGGCCATGGTAGGAGAAGATCTCATGCTTGACCAGGTGAAGAGTTTGCCATTTAGAGGGAGGTCGAGGAGGTTTAGGGAGTTTATGAGGAGCTGGAAGTTGGAGATATATGATGTGGAGGGGGGCATGTTGCTTCTCTCTGAGGCTGCTGATGTAACGTTGAAATCTCCAAATAGGGACCATGGGAGGGGGAACATGACTCTTAACTCTGCGGAGCTCCCACCAACAGACATCTCTGTCTGCCTTGTCAGTGGGGGCGTAAATAGAAGAAGCAAGAAAATGCCAGTTTAGAACTTTATGGCGGAGGACAACTGAGACAGAAAAAATGCCAATGTAGGAGTCTATGCATTCAAACATATTATCGTTCCAGCCCAGGAGAACACCCCCTCTAGATTCGATAGCATCTAATTGAAGCCAGGAAGAGATTCTAGGACCACCAATACCCTTGAGAACATGGGGTCTAGGGGAACTGAGTTTAGATTCTTGAATCCCTATGAGATCTACAGAGGAAAGAGAAATGGTATCTTTAACCAATCTTCTTTTGATGGTGTTGTTAATACCCCTAACATTCCACGAGCCGAATTTCATGGATACAGAATAGAAAAAAACAACCAGGGGACGGGGCAGGTCAGAGGGAAGGTCCCACTCTCTCGACCTCTAAGAGCCTAAGACTATGAAGCCCCTCTTCTGGGATCGGGTCTTTGACCCCGCAGTTGGATAGGACAGAGGCTAGCTTGGGATCTGAAAGAATGTTGAGAGGGGTGGAGACAGAGGAGTTGGAAGAAGACTTACTTTGCTTTGCTGAGGAGGATATGGACCTCGAGGCAGAGAGGTGTCGGATGAATGCTTTGTGGGCCAGAGCACGCCTGACTCTGGCTTTGGATACTGATCTTTTCTTTCTCCCTGCTGCAAGATGCTCAGATCCAGGCGGCGCTGATGCCGACAAGCTAGGCGCGGCAGACTGGGGGAGCTGGAGGATGAATGGTCACCGGATCTAGCGTCTGCCGCTGACCTACGGGCGGCTAGGGTACCAGAAGCGCCAATGCCTTGAGTCTTGAGAAATCTCATCCACTGGGATCTGTCCACCGACAGATTTCTCCCATCCCACTTCACATCAATCAAATCTGGGTCCTGATCCGCGCCGAGGTTCTGAAGGAGTTGGGGGCCCAAGAGAAGTTGATTTGACTGGAGCTGGGTCCTGTCTCTCGGAACTGCCGCCAAATTCAAAATGCTGGACGGTGGGACGACAATACCCTTCCCTTTGGAGGGAGGAGGAGGAGGCGGACGAGGTGTTGACAGCGGTGGGCGGCGGACCTGAGGCAATTGATCAACATCTTCATCATCTAGCCCTTTGTCACCGGTCTCGGTGGAAGGGTTCCCCCTCCCATTAGCCGCATGCTCTAACACTTCTGGTTTCTCAAAATCTCGCTCTGAAATCTGTCTCCCCAAGATTTGGGTGACTATGAAGCCTATACAGGCCCAAACTTGGATTCAAGTGCCATGTTAAGTTTTGTCACTATACCCAACACTCCACAGTTGTTGTGAGGGTTAAGGCTTGTAATTTTATACTCATAACACACGAGTGCTACATATATGGATATATGAATGTCTACCCATTTAAAATAGGTTTTATTACAGGTAGACTAATGCAAGATACACATGAGTGCTACATATATGGATATATGAATGTCTACCCATTTAAAATAGGTTTTATTACAGGTAGACTAATGCAAGATGATCGTGGATTGTCGATATTGGACTAGTGGGTTTACATATATCTATATTAGTTTTAGAATTATTTGGCATAATCTTTATTTTAAGTGAGATTTATCAGGATATGCCGTTAGGATTTTAAAAACTTTTTGATTTGATTACGTTAGGATTTATTTTGTGGTTAGAACTGAAATTTATTCTATTGTTAGTTTAATTACTTTATAAATAATTTATATTCTCTTTTAGAAGGAGGCATTGATATATAAAATTCTCGAGTTAAATTCTTTGTATGCATGTGAATTGTTTTGATGTTTTAGGTATGTGAGTTACAGAGGGTGTGCAGTCCAAATTTTGTCTATAATTTTAGTTTTATCCTATTATTTT